TAGGTCGGGTGAGTTTGAATCAATTTAGTAAATTAAAATATAATTTTCTTTTTATTTTGAGATGATTGTCGTAGGGTAATGTTTGATGAGCTATGAAATTCGTTCATTAACTATATTGGTTGAATTACGTTTTACATGCGAAAGGGTGCTCATTAGTTTTGATGTGGTTGAATATGAAGAAAACGGGTAAGTTTAGATGATTTTCGATGAAAAATTGTTTCTTTTGTTCATTTTTTAGGTGGAGAAGGCCGTTATATTTAGCTTCTTGATGGTTTGGTAATGGTGCGACGAAGTGCATCTGGATAATTAAAATTTTTCTCTAATTTCCGTGTGTTGCTGACCTTTAATGTCTGTTCTAGTTATTTTTTGGTGCGAATAGATTCACAGCAGAACCTCATTGAATGTCTGTGGCCGCTGTGAATGCCTGTTGCTGCTGGCAGAGAAGTGATGGATTTCTGTCTAGGCTAGTTTGGTAGAGCTTTAACCGCATTCGGAGACCTTTTCTTTGGGTTTCCAAAGAGGTATTTGAGGTTTAGCTATAATGGGTACTATGGGTTTCCGAGACCTCGGAAACCCTTCTTCGGAAACCCTTAAAGAGTTTCCTATAGTAACAAACTCGGAAACCCTCTAAGGGTTTTCGATAATACCTATTTTTTTTAGAGTGTAGTTCACGCAACGTGGGCTAGAGTTATCTTCCTAAAAGAGTTTCACAATTAGAAAGACGACATCAGATAGCACTCTCCTAAACTCTTCGAATCATTATTTACCTAGAATGGTTCTTTAGATTATCTACAACCTTTGAACGTTTCTTTAAAAGCAAATAGAACCTTAAAAAATTCAGCATCTTTGCTAAAAATGTTTTGATGGTTCACTATTATGTCTTTTGCCGAGTGCAGGAGTGGGAACGTACATGTGATGGTGTGTGTGTTGGTATTGCACAAAAAAGACTCACACACATTCCACATCCACATTCACACCCTCTTTTCTAACAGTTTTTTAGAGCTTTTTTCGCTGATCACTTTGGCAAAAAGATGTCTTTCAATTTGATTGAGAAACGACACTATTATAATCAAAATACTAAGCACGATAACATGGCTGAAAACGCGATTTTATCCTCATATGTAAGCATAAAAGGTCGATTCGCATATCCCAAAATTGGTACAACCGGGAGAAATGTGATATAATAGCTTTTGTAGAGGAAAGTTTGCTGTACAAGATTCTGTAGTCGGTTTCTCATTTACATTCGAATAGTGTGAATAAATCTCGATGTGATATGGGTGTGGATGTGGATGTGGATGTGGATGGAGGTGTGAGTGTGGATGGGGATGTGAGTGTGGGTGTGGGTGTGGGTGTGGGTGTGGGTGTGAGTGTGAGTGTGAGTGTGAGTGTGAGTGTGAGTGTGAGTGTGAGTGTGAGTGTGAGTGTGAGGGTGAGTGTGAGTGTGAGTGTGAGTGTGAGTGTGAGTGTGAGTGTGAGTGTGAGTGTGAGTGTG